GAATAAGTCAACTAGAAATAGGTGCACTGGATCACAAGGCCCCATGCAACTCAGGTTCAAGCAGGAAGAAGAGTTGGATAGGTAGACTAGAGCTGAGCTCAATCCTCAGAGATGAGGAGAAGTGGGAGAGGGCTTTTCAACCTTCATAGTATACTACTTTATCTGGTTCCTACCTCCCTATTCCATGTGAAGTGACCCAAACAATAAACTCACTAAGATTAAGGCCTGAGTTTGCTCCTCCTATGTCCCTAAACTGAGTTCCCTGAGGACTAGGTGTCTATTTGGTCTTGCTCTGACAGCCTTTCCTGCTCACCCCACCCAAAGACAAAAACTCCCTTAAAGAGGACAGTCTAGACTAGCTCCCTCAGACCATGAGCTAAGCTGGGAAGCAAGGCCAGAGTGAGTGGGAATAGCAATATGGGAGAAAAGGGGTGGATAAAAGAGGATAACCCTATTAGCATCCTGCCTTAGAAGAGGATGGGGGATTAAAGGAAGAGTCTGGCCTAATCATCTCCAAAATGAGGGAACTTTAGAGACTGGAGACATCTTTGGACATTCCTACATTGGTTACACCCTACCTCTGTTCTAAAAACTTTTTAAAAAGGTGTTCTCGAAGTTTCTTCTCACCCAAAGTGTCTTGACCATAGTTAAGAAGTCACAGAGATAGCCTAATTCTTCAGGAACTGAATGAACTTATACATTGGCCTGTGACTAGGCTGGGCTCCCAGGAATGAGCTCATTATCTCCATTCACTCTGTGCATGGGAGTCACTTTCAACTGGGCTTGTCCATCTAGTCTGACACAGCAAGGCCCTTTGGCACCATTTGGGCCTAGAGTAAGACTGAGAGTACTCTGAGAATGGAATGGTTCAGAAAAGAAACCCAAGAAGCAGCAATAAAGACACTGGGCCAATTGATGAGGGGAAAGCAGGCTAGAAAATGAACTTAGAAAAGCTGGGTCCTGCTGCCCGGGTGCTGACACTACCTAGCACAGACCCCCCTCCAGATCTGCTCCTTCTAGGATTCAGTGACTTCCATTCCTGCTACCCAAGCCTTCCTGCCAATGGCTTCCCACCCAGTACAACGGCATCTCTATTGCCTGTAAAAGCCTGTATCTAGTTTATAGGCTGAGCAAAAGCCTTGTCGCCTCAGTCCACAGGATAAGTCTTAGAATGTCAGAGCTAGAAAGGACCTAAATGGCCAAAGACCATCCAGTCCAACCCCCCCCCCCATTCCCCACCATTTTACAAAAGAAGAAACTAAACATAAGAGAAGTGAGTTGCCCAAGGTCAATAAACAGCAGAGATAGCACTCCCAGGCTCTGCCTACTAAACATAATATACTGCTTCTCCCGATTGCCAAAGTTGAATAATTCTTCCTCAAGCCTGAATTTCAGAAAGGCAGAAACCTTTCACCTCCTCCTCCATGTTGTTTCTTCCTCATTAATTATGCTTCAACTCCCATAATACACATCCTGCATCCAATAATGAAGGCTCTCTTGCCCAGAAGAGGTGATTTTATAGACATTCAGTGGAAGAGTCCCTTCCCCCCAAGCCAAACCATTCCCAGGAGACCAAGCCACAACTATTTCTTTTCCAGGAAAGGATCCACAGGCATATATCCGAGTATGGAGGTAGAGAATAGGGATGCACTGCCCAGCCTTGGGAAAAGGTCAACAATATCCTGATTCCCTGAGCAGCCCTGAACCAGACCAAACAAGGCAGCAAATGAGAGTGTTGAAGGAAAGTTACTTATAGCAGCCTGTCATTAACCTGCCACCCAGCCCAGCCCTGTACAGAAGGTAAATTTAGCTAACTACCAACCAAGAATAGCCCATGAAGAAACATGGTCCAACAGGTCCTATTGCCTATTGCCTTTGTAACTCTGCTGAGCAGGCTATCGACACCACTATTTCAACAGAACTAATGATCTTTCGGATCATAGAGGTTTTCCCAACTACTTCGAAGATTTGGGGGAAAACAGGTTTGGGGGCAGGACAGAATCGGGCCTAGATATTCTCCAGTTTGGAATAAGGTTCAAATCATGTCACCTTCCTATTCTTAGCACCTTAGATCTCCATTCCTGACCCATACATACCCATACATACACTGCCTCTCACAGTGCCTGGGGGTAATGGAAAAAGACTTAAACTCCCCTCTCTACAATGTATTTAAATGCATTAAAGACCCCAAGTCATAGCACCAGTATCATATCCACACTCTATCCCCTCTTTAGGGATGAGGACTCTTCTCCTGCCCTCACCTCATGTATGATCCATCTTAGAGGTCATCATCTGCAAACTCAGCCACCAGACCTCCCTACCCAGTTTTAACAACTTCTCATTCATAGAATCACCTCTATACCTCTGACAAGTGATTATCCAGTCTTGATTTGAAGACCTACAGTAGTAAATCCAGTACCTTCTAAAGCAGTCCAGTTTATTTTTGAACACTCTGATTGTCACAAAGTTTTCTTTAAATCAGGCTGAAATCTGTCCCTCTGCAACCTGCATCTGTAACTTCTAATTCTGCTCTCTGGGGCCAAGTAGCCAAGTCCAAATTTCCCATTACAACCCTTCAAATTCTCAAAAGTGGCTTATCCTATTTCCCTTAAGCCTTCTCTTCTCCAGGCTACACAGCTCTGGTTCCTTCATCTGACCCTTGAGGGGTCTGGTCTTCAGTTCCTTCACCACCAGGGCAGTCCTGCCCTGGACATAATCCAACATATTTCCTAAAATAAGAATAACCATTTTTATTCCCTATACCGGGGAGCTGTAATGAAAGCCGTTTGCAATTCCTTACAGGTATAAAACACCTGGCAAGGCCAGAGACGCTCCTGAGGAACGCATGAATCAGACAAAAATGTGGGTAATATTTAACAAAGTAAAAATATAATAAAATACAAATGTCAGTATGTGGTTTTCTAAGTCAGTAAGCACCTGCAGGGATCCTTATCTGTGGTCCCCGTTTCCGACTTTGACATAACTGCCCTATGAACTACAGAAATGAGCTATTACACTTTTATAACCATAAATGAGGCCTTCCCAGTCAGTTTTTTTTTTTAAATCATAGTCCTATGAAGAAGATAGGGTGAGATAATCTTCATTTTGCACAATGGAAAACAGGCTCAGAGATGAGAAGCAACTTGCCCAGGGCCACATGACCAGACGAAAAGTGGTTTAAAGTTCTGGCTAGTTTCAACTTTTATGGTTTTTTTCCCTTAACACCTATACCATGACACATGCTTCCATTATGCTGACACTATCCAATCACTACCACCCTGCCTAGGGTTTTTTGCAGTCCTTACATCACTACAGTATTGTACCCTAAGAGGCTCTCTCACCCTCAACACCATACTTTCTTTCCATAGTACCTGGCACGAAGGGGCATCAACCCATGGCATATTTGCACTTTAACATTCTTCGTCTCTCCCTACTCTGGTCCATCCTCCATTCTGTCAATTTGATCTTCCTAAATATCATCTGATCACCCTACTCAATGAACTCCACTGGTATCCTAACAACTCCAGGATCAAAAAAAAAAATCCTGCTCAGCTTTTAAAGCCCTTCATAACCTGGCCTCTCCTCACAGCTTTCTCACATCTCCATGTACTCTGTAATCCAGTGACTGTCCTCCTTGCTATTCCTTCTCCTCAATACTCCATCTCCCCCATATTAAGAACTTTTCCTCCTCACCTTCAAATCACAGCTCAAGTCCCACCTTCTGAAAGAAGCCTTTCCTAGTCTTCCTTAATCTTACTCCCTTTCCTCTGAAACTATCCCTAATTTATGCTGTTATTTTGTGTGCACATGGTTTATTTGAATGTTTTTTCCCCTTAGTTTGAGGGCTGGGACTTTTTTCTTTGTAACCCCCAGCACTTAGCAGTGTATGATACACAGTAGGCACTTAATGTTTGTTGGTGGTGACTGGCGCTTTTCATTCTCATTTCTTCAGGTGTCCATATACTATCCTCCCTAATGGGCTGGATTTCTTGAAGGCAGGATCATTTATTTATCAAACCTAGCAGAGTCCTGTGTAGAATACATTTTAACTTGTTGAATGAACACAAATTGACGGCACTTGGCAGTCTTGACACTACCAAAGCTTCTGTTGAGCTGATTGTAGGAACTCTTACAATTACAAGTGAATATCTCCAACCCTCAGATACATTTTAAACTGATGCAGAAACCAATCTAAATGCAGAAACCCAGCAGCTTTCCTGATAGGATAACTTGTTACAGAATCCCAACTCTACTTAATTTTTCTGCCTGGATGACCATGGACAAGTCATTTTTCCTCTCTCCCAGAAAGAAGTATCCTTATTTGTAAAAGTAGGGGCCTGGACTGGCTTTCAACTCTCGATCCTATAAACTCACTGGCCATTTATTCAACCTGGCCCTTCAGGAAGTTCTTTATATTTCATCTACCTCCCCAGAGAAGTTGTCTACTTTAGGCTAAAAAAGCCACAAAACATTAAGCTACAAGTGCTACCAACCCTTATTTGGCCTCTAAAATGTTCAGAACACTTCAATCCCTCATTAAAACAATAATGAAATATTACAATTGTGATTAAGTCTTCATCTTTGCTTCTCCTTTATTTTCTTTACGGATGACCAGGAGAGAAATCTCCCTAAGACTCCAGAGAAAGAGGGATCTTTGCCTAATAGCCCTTTCCTCAAGGTTGAGAACTTGGGCTGCACAGAGAGCTTGAGCCCACAGCTTGACCACAATCAGATCTTTCCATACCCAAATTAAGTACAAGCTACTCACTCCCACTTCATGCATGCCATAGGATGAATTCTAGAAGAGAGCAGCAACACAGCCAGATTAACACCTCCCTTTCCCTAGCTCCAGGGATGCTATAAAATTGCATGGGTGCTGGCCCACCCCATCAAACTGACGTGACTGATTGGTCTTGGCATTGGCTGCTTCTACTGTTGAATGGAGAAAAGAAGATCTGACAAGGCGAGGTGCCCAGATGGAACAGCTCAGGCCAGCAGGATTATAGTAAAGTACACTGTTTTTATTTAGTCTGATATGTTTCTATACAGAATGCAGAAAACACATCTTCTTAAAATCATATGTAAGGAAATAAACACACATCAGTTGTTGGTGAACACTTTTTAATAAGATCTACTCTCCACATTACAGTGCCTGATGGCTGACAAGAGGCAGCCCTGGTGCAAACGGGAAGGAGGTTGGCTGAAACAGCATTATTATTATTATTCTGTTCACTGCCCCTTCGCCTCCAGTTTCTATGGTGACAGGTAGAGCCAGGCCTGCACCATCTGCGCATGGCTGGGATGGAATGGTGGGGTTGCTGGGGTAACGTGGCTACTTAGAAGGCCTTCCACTCAACTTGCTCTGGGGCTTTTGAAATGTTATTTAATTTTGCAAGGGGCCACATAATGTCTGCTGGAGTCTACAAAGGGTAACTGGACCAAATCTGGCCCCTACATATGTGCGCCTGACTCTTGTGCTGGGAACATCCCCAGCCCATAGAGCTCACTCAAGATGTGACCCAACACTGGACAGAATGTGCCTTGATCTACTGGGCTCCCTTCATGAGATCCTCTGCCTCCCAAATGCTTCTGGAGGAAGGGCCACATCCCTAGGGTCCCTTTTTCCTGTGAGTGGATCAAGGAACCAACCTCATAGCTCCCACTGGGTTAAGTTGGTGACAGGCATAATAAACACAGATTTAGGAACTGCCCAGCTCAAACACAGATGTAACATCACTAGCTTCTCGTCAGAAAAATCTCTTTAAGAAAAACACAGTAGAAAATGTCCCCTAGGCAAATGAAGAGGTGAAGGCCAATGACCCTCCCAGCCATCCTTCAGGGGCAGCCCACAAACATAACTTTGCAAAACAGTCAATATGGCTTAAAAGTGTCTGTTGGGTGTGCAAAGTGAGCTGGAGTCTGCGCACCCCCCCCCAAGGAAGGGAAACATTATTGCAAAGGATTTTCCTCCCTAAAATGTACCAAAAATAGCTTTCAAATGGCCAAGAAGGTCATGCTTAAACAATTTAGTCCAAAGCAGAGAGAGAGAGAGGAAAAAAAAAAGTGGTGCAGGCACCTCCAGAGTGCCTCAAGTCACAGGACAAAGACAAGTTAAGTTCATCCTAAAAAGGCAAGAAACCCAGACATGGTTCTAGAATCAAAACAACGACAGAAAAGAGTCAGAATGTGAAAAGCAATCAGTCCCATGGAATCAACCCTAAGAAGCTAAGCTCATACAAACTGCTGTAAGCATTACCATTTTTTAATCTTTTTTTATAATAAAACAATTTGAGACTGTATCAAAAATTTAGTAAAAAAATTAGATTTGAGAGTCCACCGATTTTTACTATGAACTATATTGCTGGCACTTTTCTTCCCAATCACCAGACAGCTTTCAGCATGTTGGAGTCCAGAAACCTGGGGATGGGAGGGCCAGAACAAAGGAATGAGATGCTGTCAGAACACAACTGCCAAGAATTTGAGAGTAAGGAAATAGCATCACACTACATAAAAATATTGCATCTTCACCAAAACATCCCCCACTGAGTGTTTCAAAAACATTTTTCTTTAAAAAAAAAAAAGAAAAGAAAAGAAAAAGAAAAGAAAGAAAAAAAAAGAAAAGAAGTCAATGCAGTCTAAAACTAACTCATCATTTCCAGGAGTTGCCCTCCTTGCTGGTGGCCTATTTTCACCATCGGAAGCGCCAGGGTCACCAGGAGCAGCGCACCTCTGCAGCCTCTCATAGTTATATTTCCATCCAACAACTAATGCCCCTTAAAGCTTGCCTAGAGCACACAGGGAGGATTGTCTGGCCTCGTAAAGTAATCTCTGACTATCCAGCACCAGTACCAGGGGAGAGTCAGGGAAGGGCTACGTCAGCAGGTCTGTGAGCTCACTCACATGAAGTGCCCAGAGTTCTTCCTACAATCCACAAAGATGCCCCAAATCAGTCTCCGGCTTAACCGAGGAACATAGTTTACATTGTGTGAAAAAATAGGATTCCTTTGATAAAAAATACTGTCCCTTGGTCTTCTCTAACTAGTTTTGAAACACCCTGGGAGCTTATTTTTAGCAAAGCAGGGCCCCCTCCCCCACCCCACAACCCCACCCAAAAACTATACATACAAGTTTAGGTAAACAGCAGATTAAATGTAAAAATGTAACATTAACTTCTGAAAGTCCTTTGATTTTAATCTTTAGGCTACTTTTTCCATGTTACATCCTGCAGCTAGACACACGTGAACAGAAGGAAAAAAAACAAAACAATAGTACAGTTAGTGTTAAAGGCAAACAGAGTGCACCAGGGATGGAATGTCCAGCCCAGTGTCATCTGTGAGTCCGTCCATCCATTCATTCCATGCTCTGTATCCATTGGTGCTTTCAGAAGCTGGCCATCAGAAATACTCATCGGAGAATTCTCTATGAACAAACAAAAGCTGTTAGGCAAAAAAAAAAAAAAAAAAAAAAAGAAAGGAAGAAAAAAAGAAAAAAGAAAAAAAAAGAAAAGAAAATTTTAAAAGTCCCCCAAAGTTCACCAGGCCACTTTGGAGTAGTGTAAAAGAACCAGAGAGGGAGGGTTTTTTCAGGCCCTGTATGTGGGTGTGTGTTTGGGGTCAAGTGTTGATTTCTGGTTGGCAATGAACTGTGGGCCATCAATCCCTATCAACAACACTGGTATGGATCTCCAGGCCCCTTCCCTCAAAGCTCAAGACTTGCTGTTAAGGGGGAACATATGGAGGTGGTGACCTGTAAGGGGTCATGTTCTTCGGGCGTGAGCCTTTTCCCTCCATAGGGGCTGTGAAGGGTGGGGGGGGCTGATAGGGAGGTGCATTAGGGTCTTCATCCCTCAAGGGGGTATACTCTCCAATAGTATCCTGGTTCAATGGGGTGGTCTCTGGCATGTTCTGGTTTGGATATTCTGGAGGGGGGAGAGGAGCTTTTTCCTCTTGTAGGATCAAAGGCATGCTAGAGGAAGGGGGTGGCTTAGAGTCATCCAGTTCATCAGCAAAGATGATTGGCACGCCTTTTTTGATGAAAGTTGCTTGGTCTTCAATTGTGAGCTTTCCTTTCCTTTTCTTTCGGTAACAGATCATAGCAATGATACCAGCAATGAGCAGGATAGCAGCCACCACCACAGCAGGAATGACTGTATGGAGATAGACGTCATCCTCACTGCTCTTCTCAGGGTCCTTCTCAGTCACAACTGTAGGGGGAGCTTCTGAAGGGATCCTTCTGTCTGCTGTTACAGGAATAAACTGGATGTGTCTACAGCTGCCTGATCCTGTCACAGAAATGCTCACAGCCTTGAACTCGGGCTCCAAGGTATTAGAGAAAACATGACGAGGTTTTCCATCATCCTCCGAGATTCTCCTGCTCAACCCTCGGATTTGTTCCTTGGGGCAGGGATCCAGAGGCAGAGTATTATTTGTCCACTCGACCACAATGGAGCCCTTTGTGATGTTCTGCAAGGTGATGGTACTGCTATTGCGGTCCCCAAAGGCAAGAGCCAGTTTCTTAACCAATATGATTTTTTTATGAATGTCATTGACCACTGAAGCAGGGTCACCAGTGAATTTTGCCTTAAATTTGGCTGGAGACTTATCTCCCTGTGGACGCTTATGTACATGGATTTCAAAGGCATCCACAGCTGAGAGGCCCCCTTTATCTGTGGCATGCATGAAGTACTCGTGCTTGCCCAGGTGACTGCTGTCAGGCAGCCCATACATCAGCTGACTGTTGCTATTAAATTGGACCCAGGACTTCTCCCCTACCATCTGCTGCTCCCTAAGCTTCAGAGTTAGCTTCAGCTTATCTGTAGTCGTGTCTTCCTCATCGTAGAACGTATCTAAGGGGATTTTCACCTCAAAGTAAGTGCCCACCCATGCGTCCACCCTATCAATGTGGTTTTTCAGTGAGGGGGGCTTGTTGGGTTCACCCCCTCGAGTTGTGCCACTTGTCGTGGTCCGGGTTCGAGTTGGTGGGGAAGCCGTTTCCAATCTGGTGAGAGGTGCTTTGGTTGTGACCCTGGGCACTGGCCTCGAAGTCCGTGGTTTTTTGGTAGGCCTTCGGGTTGTAGCAGTTGAGGAGTCTGTGGTTGAAGGCGTGGCTGGTTTCAAAGTAGTTATTCTTGGTTTCTTAGTAGTGGTGGTAGGAGGTGTAACAACAGCAGTGGGTTCTATGTATCCTGGAATTGTTGTTGGCCTAATCTGGCCAGGGACCGTAGTACCTGTATCTGCTACTCTGGTAGGCTGAATTGGTCCCAGGGTTGGGGTCTGGACAATGGCACCTCGTGTTCGAATGGTAACTGCTGGTTTTCCAGGGACAGGATCTCGTACTGGAGGAGCTGCAGTTTCTGTAGGAGGTGCAATGGCTGGAGAGGTGGGTGTAGGAACAATCCTAGATGGTGGTTCCTGGAGAGCAGTTGTAGGGGGTCCAATGGCAGTGACTGGTGTGGGTGTAGCATTAATCTGTCTCCTTATCCGTTTTGGAAAATGAGGTTTCTTATTAGCAATATGCCAGCCTACAACAGGATAGCCAAGCTGAGCAGACATTGTGCCTTCTTTAGCTGGAGTTTCCACACTGCTAATATTAGGGACACTGTTTTGGTTTAAAGAACAACCTAGCTTCCATGACAGTAAGGCTCCATTTTCTACTACTTTTTTTGCATTTCCTGGGCCAGCCATGAAGGCTGACATGTCAAAGAGTCTGTTATTTACAACTGGAACCAGTTTCATATTATGTAGTTCTACTTCCGAAAAACTTTTCATCCTGTTTAAGAGCTCTACCCTCTGCTTTGGTGTCATTTTTGTGAGATCAGCATCCAAAATTACAGTCAGGATAGTCACTGGCTCATCGGCACCACACACAAATGGAGCAGCTTCATTAACATCTTGGGATGCCACTCTTACTGACTGTGGCTCACTGTGATCTTCAGGATATACTTCAATGGAGAAGACATTCCTAGCTTGGGGCACATAACTTCCATTAGGTGCCAGGTGCATGGCATTGACAGAAATGTAATGTACACCTTTGTCTGTATCGAGGGGAAGACCTTCCAGCATACGGCTCTCGGGGTCCCAGTGCAGCCAGGAGGGCAAAACTTCTTTCCCAGCTTCTGACATCTAGGAAAAAAAGACAAATAAACAGCAAGTTAATTTTGCCATTTAACTGCATTGGGAAAGATTAGAAACAATTAATAAAATTTAAATCTAGGTTTAAACTCCAATATAGCAGGCCTTACACTGGAGATGCAAACTCCAGCTGGGAGGGGAAATTCGTCTCCCACATAATTGAGGGTTTACCAAGCTTTACTGTGGCTCAATCATGAGGCAGAGGGGCTTCCTGAATGGGTTTTCATTTTAAAATAATCCATTCTAAGTTAATAATGGATGCCTCCATCTGTGGTACCTCAGGAGCTAGAAAGGCAGAGCATTGGCAATCTGTCCTGTTAAAGTCACAAGTGGATGAGTAAAGGGTGAGTACTGTAGTTTGCTTGCTTATTTCCTAACCACCAGAACATGAATAGGTTATCTACAGGGGCAGGGGAGAAAAGCAATAAGCATGGGCCTTGGGCCTTCTTTTCATAGGGCACTTGAAAAGATAGCCAAAAAAGGAACTGTGTGTTTCTGTCAAGCTACTACTGTTCCTACTGATGAACCTATTTGCAAACTCTGAAAGTCTTTGTTTTTTCAGGCATTCGCAATGTCCAGGCATACACACATTTAATAACTCAAGGATCTGTGGGTTTTGTCAGCATAGACACTCCATCTACACTGATCACAACCTCTCTGAGACCTACTAAACTGTCTTTGAGAGTTGCTATGGCTGAAAAATTCATCACTCTTTGGGTGACCTCTCTGAAGATAGTGAAGCTGGTCTTTAGACAACAGAAAGTCTAGGCCCAGATGGCTTAAACACATGGATATTTACAGGGAACTAACTGGTAGGCCAGCTGCTGAGACTCCAGGTCATTTTTCTCACCTGTACATACTTGGGAACATTCCTGCAGGTTACCTGATACAGAATACAAAGCAAAAGTTCAGGTTTGTCCTGAATCTTACTCAAGCAAAAGATTGTCTCCTACCAACAGTTTGAAACATGGGAGTCTCTAAAGTTTTCTGTTTTTCAGAGCCCCAGAACTGAAAGGGGCCTTAGAGGCCAACAAGTTCATCCTGTACCTGAACCAGAATCTCCTCTACAACATCCCTAACAAGTAGTTACCAAGTTCATGTTGGAAGACTTTTGGATAAGGTCACTTATATCGTACATTCCCACATACTAATATTAACAATGCCATTTGGGGGCAGCTAGGTGGCTCAGTGGATAGAGCACCAGACCTGGAGTCAGGAGGACCTGAGTTCAAATCCAGCCTCAGATACATAATACTTCCTAGCTGTGTGACTCTGGGCAAGTCACTTAACCCCAATTGCCTCACTAAAAAAACAAACAATGCCATTCAAAGGCTGAGTTCACTCTGCTTTTTGACAACTCTACATCTGCCACTCTGCCCTATTGACCCACTGCTCCTAGGTCCACCCTCTGACTCAGTAAAGCACAACTCTGATCTCATATGGCCGCTATTTAAATACCTAAAGACCAACTGTTTTCTTCACCAAGTTACACTGCATCAGGTCCTTCAACAGATCATTGCAAGGTTTAATCTCAAGGCCATTTACCATAATGGGCATCCTGTTCTGGAGTCTCTATCTTATCAATGTTCTTCCTAAAATGTGGCTAGAATACCCAATACTATAGATATGGTATAAAGAGGGCAGAGTACAGCAAGATACTAATATCCTCTCATTCTAAAGACTATGTTTTTCAATGCAACTTCAGATCGCCCTAACTTTTTTTGCTTACCCTATCATGCTGTTGATTCTTTTGAAACTGCACTCGACTAAATCAACCAGCAATTTTAAAATTCTATACCAGGCATCATGCTAGGAGCTAGGGATAAAAAGACAAAAATTAAACAATCTCTGTTGTCAAGGGGCTGACATTCTATCAGGATAGAAACACATATACATATGTTGTTGCTGTTCAGTTGTTTCTGTCATGTCCGACTCTTCGTGACCCCATCTGGCATATTCTTGGCAAAGATACTGGCATGATTTGCCATTTCCTTCTCCAGCTCACTTAATAGATGAGGAAACTCAGGTAAACAGGGTTAAGTGACTTGGCCAGGGTTACACAGCTAGTAAATCTAGCTAGTAAAAGGTCAAATCTAGCTAGTAAAAGCTAGATTTGAACTCAGGAAGATGAGTCTTCCTGTTTCCAGGTCTGACACTCTATCCACTGTACCACCTTGCTGCCCATGTTTATATATAGGTATGTAAAAAATAATTAGATTTTTTTAAAATACTAGGAAATTTTGAGGGATAGAGGCACTAGCAACTGAGGGGAATCAGGAAATACATGATGAAAGAGGTAGCATTTTGAGCTGAGCTTTGAAGGAAACTCCAAGCATCTGAGACTAAAATTTCTAAATCTTTCTAAGAGAACTGTTATTTAGCCATATCACATTGCCCCCATTTTGCCAAGACCATACTTATGAAGTTGATTTTTAAAACTATTTTAAGTTTATTTATTCCTATTAACTTTTATTTTATATTTAGCCCTAGTTATAGCTTGTCAAGGTATTTTTGGCACACACTGTCATCTAACACATTACCTATCTTCCTTCCAGTTTTGTGTCATCTTGCAAATTTTATAAGCGTTTTATTTAAGCCTTCATCAAAATAACTGAAAACAGACCAGGGCTAAATATATCCTCCCGGGGTACTCTACCAGAAATCTACTTTGGTGCTTATATCAACCCATCAATGGTTACTACCTGGATCTGATCATTCAATCAATTCTAAATCCACTTAATTGTAACTCACTTCTCTCCACCTTGTCCACAAGGACAGCATTTGAGATTCTGCCAAATGTTTTGTTAGGTAAATTAGATTTTAGTCAACTTACACAGCTACCACCCTTGTTCAAAGGCCTTCATTACCTCTTGCCTGAATAACAAAAGTATTCTAACGGATTTCCCTGATTCTAGTTTCTTTTCTACTCCAATTCCTCCTCCACTCAGCTGCCAAAATAGATTTCCTTAAAGTTGAGTCAACAAGCATTTATTAAATGCGTACAATATGGCAAGTACAGTGCTAAAGTGCTGAAGTGTAGGTCATCTCCCCTACTCAATCAATCCCAATGGTTTCCTTACAGCCTCGACGATCAGAAAGAACTTGGTCTTTTTCTATCTTTTCCTTCTTTTAACATTATTCTCCTCTATCCATTCTGCAGTCTACTAATACTTATCAACTTCTTGTTCCTTATACAAATGTACGTCTAGAATATTAATGCTCTCTTTTTACCTCTTCGAATGCCTGTTTTCCTTCAAGACTCAGACCATCTCTTTCAAGAAGTCTTTCCCAGTCTCCTCAGATGCTAGTGTCTTATCCACCAAAGCTACCTTCCAGCTATTCAATTTTTTGTTTGTTCACACCAATTTACGTATATTTTCTCCCCATCAGAATATAATAATGGCAGAGATGGCTTCTTTTTTTCCTGTGTATCTCCAGTGTTTGGCCCAGTGTCTGATAGTAGATGCTTAATAAAATGTTGGTTACATCTAAACCAATTCCCCAGATTTTCCAGTAAAGTTGTTTGTTTTGTTTGTCCAGATATACCTTATCAGTGTGGGGTAATTCACAATGCAAAAATGCCTTCCCTTCTGTCAAAGATAGTGGACAATTTTCCTGTATCTTAGAGTTGTCTGGGATTCTAAAAGACCCCAAGTGCCTTGCCCATGAGCACATAACCAGTAAGTGTCAGAAGCTGAATCTGAACCCAGGTTCTCCTGATTCTAAGATCAGTTGTCTACATCTATTATAACACATTGCCTCTTGAGCTTAGCTTTTTTTTTAATCAGTCTAGTAATCCTGTCAAAAAAAGAAAATGAGGTTTAGTCTGTCATAACTTGCTATCTACAGATGAAACATATTGACTTTGACATCAGTGCCTCCCTTTCTCAGATGTTCACAAATATGTTTAATAATATATCATAGAATGTTGCTGGCAATCAAAGTCAAGCTCACTATCCTACAACTTGCAGATTTCATATTCTTCTATTTTTTTGAAAATTGAAACATTTGTGCTACAAATGTCTAGTGTCAGACATCCCTCAAACCAACAAACACTCTATATCTAGTGACAGATATCACCCTGAAGTATACATAGTTTTATTCATCATAAATATAGGTGGAACATGCAACTATACTCCTAGAAATTGTAATGAGACAAATGATTTGCAAATCATAAAGGGCTCTATAAATGTGAGCTATTATTTGCCTCATTTTCTAGGAAAAATAACTTTGGAAAGCCTCTACTTTAACAAGAGCCACCACAACCACCTCTATTTATATAGTGCCTTAGGTTTACAAAACATTTCATAAGAGATAAGTAATGCTATTATTTTCCCTACTTTATAAATATGGAAATGGAGGGTCAAAGGAGTGAAATCACTTGTTTATGGTCACATAGCTAGCTAGTAAGTGACTGAGCTGGGTTTCAAACCCAGGTTTTCTGACTCTGAATCCTGTGTTTTGTTTTGTTTTTATTCTACCAGGCTGCCTTTTAGAATCACTAGCTTCCTTTAAGTCTCAGGATTAATACTCTTTCCATTATTTTCTCAGACCTTACCTGATCCTCCAGTTATTAATGCTCTCCTCCCAAAATCATTTTGTATTTATATGTGTACATGTTTTATCTTCCAGTAGAATGCAAGGTCCTTGAAGGCAAATACTATTTAATCTTTATCTTTGTGTCTCTGGTACCTAGCATATCATATGCACCCAATAAATGTTTGTTGAATTGAATTGTCTTGCCACTCTTACATCCTAAGTTGGCTCAAGCACACCACTTTAATTTTTAAGTTTCAAATTAATAACTCAAAACAATATAGGGCCAGGACAGACCCTTGAGATACTCTACTAGAAACCAAGTAAAGGAATGTAATAAAAAAAAATACCACCTGGAAAAAGCAGTGTGGTATAGTGGATGGAGAGGTGATCTTGGAGTCAGGACAACCTGGTCTCAAGTCACTGGCTTGAGATATACTAGCCATAAGCATGGC